TGATCCTTGTGGGTCCCTTCCAGCTCAGGATATTCTGTGATTCTGTGATTATCACCTCAGTGCAGCCTTAGTCATGGGCCCCGGTTCTGACACACAWAGTGTTTCACAAATCCAGAACCGCAATTTCAAGTCCCCCACACTCATCTCAAAATTGATAATAATACTTTAAAGTAAAGACTTTATTTGATGTCTTGTGGTCATAATTTTTGTGGTCAGTCATACTTCTTYATCTTTCAAAAGGAGATCAAAACCAGATGCATACAGTACAAAACCCAGGAAAACTTTCTGATCATCTAGAGAAAGACTTCTGCATCAGTCTCAACTGTTTTTTCCCTTAAACCTGCTCTCCTTTTCTGCCTTTCTCCTCTTTTCATCCCATCCCCCCCAATTTGCTTAAACTTAACTTTAAATCACACTTTTTTCATGGTGCCCCCAATGCCCAAAGTACAGTACAGTGCTGTACATGGAACAGTATGTTCCTTTCACTTTGTCTCATATCAGTGTATCAGTGGTTCGGGGGTTTTTGTACTCAGTCCCATGGGACTGCCCATCCTGTTTCCTCATTCTGAGCCCCTGCTTTCTTCTTTCCTTACTGTGTTTTCAGCTGATTTTCTTTAGTTGAGAATGGGGACTCAGTGCTGTTTACTCTCCAGATGTTTGCTTGTTGACAGTCTTTACTCAAGTGTTGATCAGTAAAACTGGCTTAGAACAAAGATTTTGCAAATTAAGTTTGTGGTTTGTCAGATTAAACTCTTTTTGCTTATAACAGTTATTTTGAAAGTTTCCACTGCTTCAGCCCTGCAAGGTGCTGATCACTCTCAGYTGGATCCCAGAAAGTGTGGAGATCTCTGACCTGAAGCTATTTAGGCATTTGGGTTATGTTTGACTGAGCATAGGAACTATCCCATTGATTTAAATGGGACTGCTCGCAAGTTTAAAGCTCAGCGTGTGCTTCAGTACTTTGCCTGAGTGGGGCCAGAGGGCTCAGGTTCCCAGAGCTTCAATACCAGCACTACCTACATATGATACAAAATATAACATCCTGATGATAAGACTTGATGATCAAGCGATTTCTAACCCAATCGTGCAGCTTAGTGCAGCATCTCTGCAATGAAGAAGGTATTTTTACTTGCTTTCCATTTGTATCCAACACTAAAAAAGGAGTTTCACAGTGTTCTGCAGAGCATACAGATGAACCTGAGATGATATACAGCACTGTCAGATTTTATTGACGTTCATTTAAGATGATCTACATAAGTCACTCTTAGAAATTCAACCTTCCCAAAGTCATGGCAGTAAAATGTTTATGCTATGACATCATCAATCTATTCTCTATTGTACCTCCAAATGCATACATACACACACATTACAATTCGATTACATTAAATTACATTAAACCTAATTAGACAATAAGTCACAGTTCAAGCTATACCTTATTTGTTCAAACATCCAAGTTAAATTTACATCCTAATGGTTGCGTATTTGGATTTAATAGATGTACTATTAGAAAATAAACATAATAAATGAATAACCATTTTAGCATGGAGTTACCTAATCTTGATGAAAAATATCTGAAAATGCAGCAACCAGTGAATCTACTTACTTTTAATTGGAAAATAATGCTAATCACAGACTAAGGAGATAAATATAAATTACATGGAGTGGCGTACTAATGATGGATCAGACAGACCCACCCTATTCAGTGAATAAGATCAAACTGGTTGAAAAATGGTATATACTCTAGATGCTGTCCTTCTCAAGCATGGAATAAAGGATATAGTCTAAAAAGGTTTAATTTGAAGAAGTTTCCCCTTGGACTTGACAGTGCATTTTATTTTCAGCATCTTCTAAAGCTTCAGGACAAGCTCTGTGTTTCCCAGCAACAATCAGGCTTGTGCRCAGGAAAGGTGCACAGGGATGATGACTGTCCCTGAAAACTGAAAAGTGCACAGTAAGGTAGAAAAGTTGGACTGTCTAAYGGTGTGAACAAGAGGGCTCACGGATATAGCAAATAATGCAAACTGGGCTACTGCATAAATCCTTTATCATTAGAACAGGAGCTTAGTTCCTAGGCACACTGAGCAAAGGCAAATGGGAGCAAGCAGGCCCAGCCTTTGCGATCTTGCACAGGAGGAAGCAGAGCCTGCTTTGATTTCCTTTCCAGTATAATGAATCACTTCTTTCCACACAACTACATCTTTTTGATTATGTACTTTTCCTCATCTCTGGTATCCTAGGCTGTTCACTTTTCAAAGCATAGTCCTGGATTAGGGCCACATACCCCATTCTAGCTACAGCTGTGCAGAGGTGAACAGTGTCAACTTAAGTTGTTTGTCAAGTCTCCTCACTCCACTGCCAAAGGCTACTATCCCCTCAGGTCTCCCAGCAGAGCTGCTCCAGGAGCTTTGTCTATTCTGGCGCCTTTAAAGTGATTCTGGCTAGAAAATCTATCATTTTGAGTATTGAAGCTACCAGGTTATTATGAAGGAATTGAATTTTGAGGTACTGAATGTGCCAGAAGATACTAAGAAGGAGCAGACCCTGGAGATGATGGAAGGGGGTGATAAAAAATAGGTGGTGCTAGGCCTATTGCAAATATTGCAGAATACTACAGATAATGCAGAAATGAGGAAATGAAGAAGACAGCAATTGCCATAATCTCACAGAGGGAGTCTATAGTTTTGCTAGGAATCTGATCCAGATTCCCTCTGTACCAGTGCTTCCCTTAGAACAGCCATAAACGTCCTTTGCTTGACCTCAGTCCAGGCCACAAAGCTCATCTGCAATTGAAATAAATAACTACTTAACACAGCAGCACCAGAGACACTGGCAGCATCAAATGAAAGTGACTTTGTGAAGGGAGAACACATCAGGAGTCACTCCACATGATGTGCTGCTTGCTCGCCATGGCAGCAAAATGATGAAGGCTCCAGGATCCATCCTGCTGCCGGCAACCATTTGTCTTAATCAACASCTCTGGGCACACCATACAACATCTGAACTGTGAGTGCCTCCCTTCTCTAAATGTCATTTCATTTTTGTACCTTTCCTTGAGAGTTGTCAGCCCACAGACACTTTGTTATTTTTTTTTTAAAGTGATTCCAGGGAACTGTGCTCAGAGCTCCAACAAACACAGAGGCAACACAGCGGACTGGATCGGAACAGAGTAATTTGTTTTATTGCACTGTGCCTCGCAGGTTCTTAGTCCTTCCTGCCCTATCCACCCTCAGCCTTTCATTCCACAGCCTGAGCAGAAGCCCTACACAAACAAGTGAAGGCAAGTTAACAGACCCTGGTCCCCACACTGCTGTGACTTGTGTCAAATTACAGTTGGAGTGATTTGCTAATCCAAATCCATGCAATAATCTGATCTGTGGGGAGAAGCACTCTAACACTGCTGAGCTGAGTGGGTACAAGCACTGTCAGCTTTTCCCAGAAGCTCTTTGACCTACTGAAGCCTGCACAAATATACTGAGCAACTGATGACACAGGGAAAAGTCTGACACATTCAGGCTGTTAAAAGGCACAAAATATATACTCCAAGTCCCAAGAAAATGCTCCAATTAAATTCAGATTTTGTGCAAGAGTATATTTAGCCCAGCTAACTGTTACTGCTATGCACTGTGGACTTCCTGTATTTGAAAAAATGTTTTAATGAACAGAAAGAAAAATATTTATGTTGGTGGATCACATTCAGACTMTAAAAAGGATTTGGGAAGTACCCAAAGTTTGAGAGCTCTATCTCAGTTAAGCACATAAAGGATGGACATCTACCCAGACCTCCTGAGCTGCAGGATTCAATTTCTGTGGTGAAAGGCTCTAAAACACTTGGTCTGCAGTCAGGCTTAAAAATACTGCATGATCGTGCATGCAGAAAATCTGACACTTTAAAACATCCATTGAGATTCCTTACAACATCAACACTGGAAGATAGGCTAAAATGGTATGAATAAACKATGTGATTCATTAATTATGACTCTTTAGAAAGTAGACAGGAGCAGAAGATCTGCTAAGTGGGTTTTACAGCATACCTGAAAAACAACATAGAACAGAAGAAAAAACTGGAGATCTTCTGATAGTATCAAGGAGTATTTAATAGTATTTTCATYTGAAGAGTCATTAATCCTTTAAAAAGCAATGTCAGTATGTATTAGAAGTATGTACAGCATAGAGCTGCAAAAAGTATTTTAYTGCTTTAGCACTTCATATTTCATCAATCATCTGTGTCGGCTCAACTCCTCCAAAGACCAGCTGATACCACCTGATGAACTTCCCCATTCTCATGCTGAAGAGTATTATGGAAGTAGCATTTCCACTCAAACCAGTTATGCCTGATTGCTTTGCAAATACACAAAGTAAGACTAGGTTGCTAACTATAAAAATCACCTCAGCAGAGGAATTAAAAAATACAAGCTGAGCCTGCACTCTGCCCTGCAATAGCCAGAAGAAAACAGCTGACATACTGAAGATGGCAAGGTACATCCACAAAGCATTTTGCCAAAGTTTAACATTGCAACTCACATTGACTTCAATGACTGTAGAGTTAAAACAATGGGAAAATTTGAGAATGTGTTATGKTCTTTGAATGCTTTGCATCAAACACATATTTATAACGAAACAGTCCACAGCATTCCATATAGACATGCTCTACATGGTCTATATAGACACAACTCAAGGACATAACCAAATCATAACATAACCAAACCAGACATAGGCCTAAATAAATCCCTATTCTGGATACATTTAAAAGTTATGTGCTTAAGCATTACTCAGAACAMGGATGTTGACTGGGTATCAGCAGGAACTCAAGTTGTCTGGTGAAAAAAATATCATCAAAAACTGGATTTTATTGTAGCACATCAGAGAATCATGACAGCTGTAAAGCTGTTGCTTTAAAACGTAATCTTTTAATGACGCAGAATTTTAATTAGGTGATATTCTCTAGGGATACACATACTTCTAACTGACAGTAAATTATTATCATATATATGTTATTTTACCTGGAAYTTTATTTTTTGCCAAATGTGAGGCCCAATGAATTGTTTCAGGAAGCGTTCATCTTCACTCCAGAACAGTCGGATGTCAGGGATATCATACAGGATCATGGCCAGCCTCTCCAAACCCAAGCCAAATGCCCAGCCAATTTTATCCTGAGCACCAGCTGCAATACACAAACAAACAYGATAAAAATTCAAGAGCTTAAATTCACAACATGGAAAATTACTGATAAAATGTTCACCTATTTGTTAAAAAGAAAAAGGTGACGTGGTAAGACAGAAAATCCTACAAGTAACTGCCAAATGAARGATCTAAAGGCTACAGGACAAATTCTACTTAAACCAAAAACTGAAGCAAGACTGAGCCCATCACTGAGCCCAGGAACCAAAAGTGGCAATGAAACAAAGCCATAGTCTTGGCAATTTGAGTGCAAAGTTTCAGACTTCAGAAATGCAGCACAATGTTATATATCACTATCCTTTACTAWGCTTAGAGCTGAGCACTTCCACACTTGACTCAGCTGTGGTTCCATAAGACACGTAAGCATTAATTCCCTGTTCAGAGCATTCTCCTTGGTCTGACAGACCAAGCCAAGCCTACACAGAATTAACATCATTACCAACATTTCAAAGGATGATAATTGCCTCTTTGGAGGCTTCTGGAAGAAACAGAGCAATGGGATGTGAGGCACTGTCGCATTAGCATCACACCTCCAAGCGGGGAACTCCTGAGCTGCTGCTCCTGGGAAAAGCCACTGCTCTCACATAAACAAGTCTCTTTTAAGCAGCACTAAATATAAAAAGACAAGAATATTTAATAAAGAAAAGCTGTACAGATATTAATGATGCAACATTTCTGTCAGGAAAGTAAATATTCATACCTTCCTTCRTTTATAGGGCAGGAGAACTGATTCATTAAAAAGGGATTCTTTCAACACAAGAAACTAAGTCTATGTTTAGCAATCATCCTACTGATTTTGAAATAAGCTGAGATCCCWRAAGCACTGGCAAAGGCTCAGAGCTTTTAGAAACTTAAACAAATGCCTAAACAAATGCATGTGCTGAAAGGATGCGTGCATGTGTGACAGACTAGACTCCACACCACCAGCACTTGCAGTGCGCTCCTGAGTCACACAACATCACTGCACACCTCACTGCTATGCACCAGGGCCACAGCAGCCCTGCCAATATTAATTTAAACAAATTTTTTTGAAACTTTGAACTCGGCAGCTTCCCCACCTTCATGCAGGAGTSTGGAAGCACAAGTCTGCTTTCTGACCCTTGTCTTTCCTGTCAGAAAGGAAACAGCTCCTGTTATTTGGGCACTGATGACATCTGAGTTACCATGGTATGTTCAGTGCTGAGACTAAACAGGCCTGAGTGCTGTTCAAATAGAGGGARGCATAACTTGAGAAAAGAGACACTCATCACTTCAATTCCATTAATTCACTTGAACCTGCCTATTTTTCTGGAATAACTGGTCCTCAGCAGAAGCTGTGTCTCACCTGCTGCCACAGCAGTATTGCACTGCCACAGGGGTTAGGTCAACTTGTAAGAGTATGTCACAGAGGAATCATGATATTCTGCCTGTTCCTTCTTGTGTGCTCAAAGACAAGATTTTGCACTTTCTGACATTTGAAAGCAGTTTGACAAGTGAATTGTGGAAGTCCTAAGAAACAGAGGACCATGTGTGAACTCAAAATGTGCCTCATGGCACAGCTGCTCAAAATAGTCCTTACACCAACCAACAGCCCATGAACTAACCTGACTTTGGAAACCTAAAATACATGTTACATTACATGAAGAACTCCACAACTTGCTACAGTTGATTTTTAGAGAAAGCAGAATGACTACAAAGAATCTATTGAAATCTGTGTTTGGGAGATATTTYGAGCTTTGAATTTAAGTGTAAACTATAAATTGTTTCTTCCCCATATACTATTTCTCTCCATACACCAGTATGTTAATTGCATTTGTATGGCTATGAAGAAGGGAAGATAATCCAATGTAATCATGTTGCTTCTTCAAACTTCCAGCTTGCCTTTCCCAGATCAGCAACTCCTGCCTCCGTGACAGAATTCCTATTCATTTCAGAAGTGCCAGACTTTCACACACATATGGGCATTTCTGTAGATCAATAAACCCAAAACATCCCCTCCTCTAGAGCTAAAGTAAAGCACCTGGAGCAATATCTATGAGGGCTCTGAATGGTCAYTGCTTAATCTCAACAGAGGCATTAAACCTGAAACCTAAAGGTGCCAGGTTAAGCATCAGTGTTAATTAATTCACAGATGCTCATTAAAGTATACATGATGGGGGTGATAACCCTCCTTCCCCATATTAGTAATGATGACTGGCAGATCAGAACAAAAAAAAAAACACACACAGAAGACAAGAACAGGTGCATATTCTGATTAGCAGTGCTTTACATTTAAGACTTGGGCTTTTTTAGTATTTTGATATGAGAATGGTTTTTATTGTAACACCTTTTTTACCTCACACTTTCTACCTAATTGACTTTAACCCTGCATTTAACATCTTGATTTTACAGCAGCAACTTCTTTTCTATTTTGTTTTTTTCTTTGCTTGATTTGTTGGGTTTTTTGTTAAAAGGACTGAGACACATCAGAGGTTTTGTCACTTTGTAGCAGACAAAGAAATTCTACTATCTGYCTAGCAGCTCAGAGCATTGTCATCTGAGCTATGAATAAACACCTAGTCACTGATTTTGTCTTTTGTATTWTCCTTGTACAATTATCAGCCTTCAAATCACAAACCTCTGAAATGTCCACAGTGAAAGCTGTATCAGTGAAGAATTATCTCTACTCAGACAAAATAACTGAAATAAAAAAGAAAATTTAGATTATTCAAGTTCCTCCTCAMATCAGCACTAGCAAATCTCTGCACTCTGAATCTTCAATTATTTTGCTTCTGACCTCCAACTTTCTATYTGTGAAGCTCCAAGTCAATGCAGGATTGACTTAAAGCATTTAAATAACTACCCTGGGGGACTCAACARGATTAATGCATGCTAAACATATCTCTGACTGGAAATGATCAGGTGACTTAGAAATTAAATGTGCCTGYAATCATCCTGTTGAGTGAGAGAGCAACCCATAGCTTTCCAACACAAATAGATATTTAAATGCAYTGAATTTTGGTAAATATTATGCAAAGAAGTCAAGTGAATGTGAGTCAACAAGACAGAAAGAAAKAATACAGAACAGCTTTAAAAGTGGCAAAAAGCAGGTTGAGGTTCTGATGHAGAGACCTTGCCAAAACAGTAGATTCCAGGGACCTGGTGGGGCAATCATAGCATCCCTGCTTGAAATAACACAGCCCAACAGATAAAGCTTTCCTGACATACGAGGTTTCCCCAACTGGCCATCCAAGGTTTGTACACTGCCAGGCTCCTGCTGTGTCACATGAAAAATTTGACTACCCACCAGAAGAAAATTGCTGGAAGCTTTGCTTGTCAGGTAGCCAAAGAYGGAGGAGGAAAGAATAAAACAGAGCAGCTTCCCACACTGGGGGCTAGGACAGCCTAGTCTGATGTCAGAAGGTTGCATCATTTCAGCTATGTCTTACAGAGATCTCAAGAGCCCTTATCATCCTTGATAAGTCATATTGGTTTGTCTTGGTCTTAAGCTTCGATCACAGGTGAATCAGTTTACATGTAATGTTGACCAATCATGTCATTCTCCAAAATGCAGCATTGAACAGAAGTTAAAWTTGCTCAGTCAGGATGGGAATCTTCCTAATTATTTGCTAAGACAWAAATAATGACCTGACAGCATTCACAGATTATAGCTCCCTGAATCCTCAGAAACACCCACAGACAGCAATCCTTACCCTCTCACGGTGTGTGAGACAAGACATTCTGCTCTACACAACAATTTTAAGATGTATTTTGCAACATAGTATTAGTAACAGGTTGACAAAGCTTTTTCAGTTCATATTCCAGTCATACTTATTTTTATATCGATACTGGGTTTTATTTAAGGAGTTTTGCTACTTCTGTAAAATTGCCAGTAACGAAATCTTTCTTTCAATAGAGCTTAAATTGGGTCTTCAAATTGTTATACTCAGCAGTTACTGAAAAGTGAAAGAAATTAAATTTTGATCCTGGATTGAGGCAAAATCACGAATATATGACAGCGTGCACACAAGGTGTTCTTCACAAAATGCACAAAAATTAATATACCCAAAGCAGGAGTAGCTGAAATCTGGGATGAGTTCCAGAAGCAAAGACCTGAATTCGATCTCCTTCTTTCAGCCCAAACTATGACTGTTAATGGAGCAAATTCTGGAACTAAAGTGGTGGGAAGAGAGATGAACAGATTCTCAAGGACACATGGATTACACATTATGTTTTACAAAACAAATMAGCTTTAAAATGCATAGAAAGTAAGTCATAGACATAATGAACATGTAACTTGACACAAAACATCACAAATTGTGGAAACAAATGCCTAGGCCCACATTTGAGCTCTATGTGATTAATGGACAGCTTATTATCAGGCTTTGCAAAACAGCTTCTCCAAAATAAATATTTGCTCATTGCTAGAGAGTAGGAATGCATATTCTAAATGMCTGCCACAGCAATAAAGCAAACATATTTACTTGTGTTAAAAATAAGCCATTTAAAATTATTTCCTTATTATTTCTTTACATTATTTCAGATAAAACTCCGTATTTTGGGAGTCAAAAGCTTTACATGGAAAAAAGTAATACTAAGGCATGAGTCTAACAGAGAAGAGCTTCTGAAAGTGCAAGGTCATGTGGCTGGGATGTTAAGCAACTGAGGCCAAAAAGCATACTGAAGTTTTCTCTGAACTCCTCTCTTCAGTGCAAGCAAAAAATAAAACCACCACATTGTTCTCTTGTAACTCCATTAAACTGATGCATCCAGGCTCCTGTGTGCAATTCACTTTAAATTACATGCTAAAATGAGGACTTGGCTTTCAGACTATGCATGCTAAGAATCCACTCCTCAAGAACTCAAGAAAAGAAGTAAACATTCAATTATGCCTATTCTACAGAAAGARAACTCATCTTTCTAAATCTCATGTGTAGAATAATTTTCTAACAATAATAGTCACTTTGAGACCACAGCTATGTCTCTTGGGTCAGACTGATCTGTTCTGTTCTCTCCATTTGAAAA